TTTTTTTTGCAGAAATGCAATTATTTGCTATTATTTTTCATATTAAGGAACGGACAATCAGTGAATACCAAGGAAAACATATTAATTTCATAAAATGTACAGCATGCTCCTCCTCCAACATATTACCCATAATAATGGTAGTACGCAAATGCAGATACAAATACTTCATTTTTTTAAAAATTGATTTCAGCCACAGAATGTTTTCCTGCCACTTAATTCCTACTCTATCAGCTTCTGCTAGGAATCAATGTCAAAACAAAACAGAACTGCTATAATCACCAGTATGTTGTCTAAAAATGTCTCAGTGTATTCAATTTCATTTATGCAATTGCAAGATTTCATACAAAGGCACAATTACCACTGAGGACTAGAACCAGACTAACTTCTGTTACAACATTTTGCTTTTCCTAACTCCAAATAAATGTTTTCTTTACCACATTCCTTCTATCTATGTTCTCTCTGTTTAGATCACCCAACGAGCAGTGTTACATAATATACAATATAGACAAACTTTATATGTTTGGATTTTTTGATAAATCACTTGAAAACAGTCCCTCCCAAGTCCTAGAAATTTTCAAATATAAAACCTAGATTAGCTTGATTGTAAGTTTTTCTTTCCAGACTACCTTTGAAGTTCCCAGTTAAAAACAAGCAAACACCAAGAAATGAAGTTAAACACTTTTAACTCATTAACCCGAAGTATTCAAGTTTTGGTAAGTTGTTTCTAGATCTAACAGATCTGCTTTGCTGTATTTAGATATATGGACAAATCCCAGTGATCTTTTTTAACCTGGAGTGGTTTACTATTAAGCAGTAAAAATGGCAAATGCAATATAAAGAAATCTTTTGCTCAAGGGATTTTAGCATCTCCAGTCTTTTCAAAGATGACTTCTAAGTCTTTGCCAGGAATTCTGCAGATGTGATCCATAACAACTACAACTTTATGTATGTGCTTTTTATGTTCGCATAATATTTGAGGTAGTTAACTGCCTGGCAGGTGCAAATAAATATTTAAGCTTGTAATCCAGGCAGAACTTCAAAGAAATCTGTACTCATAATTAATTGCATTCCTGAAACTGAAGGATATTATTTAGGTGATGGATTCAAACCTTTTGAATATTTGGATTTCATGATTTATCAGTCCCACAAAGAGACAAACAACTGACTTTTCATCTTCTATCAGTACACGTGCAAAATTGATGCATCAGTTTTCTTAGTGCTGTATTAACAAAGCTGGCACGTTACATGGCTGATGAGAACTGAATAGTCCTCAGCTCCCCTCATCCCTCCTACTCTCCCACCCATGCTCAGAAATAAGTGCTTATCTCCTATGGTAGTTCACCTCAGGACTGCAGGAAAAAGGAAAAGCTTATTAGCTGCATTAGTTGGATTTCAAACAGTTATTTCTGTTTTCATATCAGGAAAAAAAAAAAAAAAAAAGCAGGTAAACACACGTTATATTTGTCTCTCTTTTCGTGAAGCAGGCTGTGAAGAACAATTTGCCCATTTTTTCTTTTCGTTTCCCCCTTACAGCACTGTCATCAATGGTAATAGGTAACAGGAATGAAAAATTTCTCTCAAATAATACACAGTATAAGCTAAGAAAAGAGAAATATTAATTTAGAAAACTGCATTACAATTCATAGAAACTATCCTCAAAATTCAAATGCACTTCTGTTTTATGGATAATTATAAAACATTCACTGTCACAGTACTTGGCATCTCATCATCATACATCAATCCCCAGAAAAACTAGTTCAGATGCTTCCAAAGCATCTCTACCAAGACAGGACAACAAATCCATAACTTAGTTTCAAGTTAAAACATATAAAATACATACAAAACAGGCATTTAAAAATATTGTATCGGCAATTTTAAACCTTTTCTTTCAGTATATACTACCCATATGCTGACTCGGACAGAAGAGCCAAAAGTGCAGCAGACTATGAAGAGTAATGGAACAAAATGGTGTGGTTTCTTCCCTAGAAGTTGAGTGCAGCATAGAAAGTAAGTGAACAGCAAATTAGAGTCTTACAAACAAAATAACTTCAAATTCCATTTAAAAATGCTTTCAGGCATGAAAATCACAATCTGACAGTACTTTTTACAGTTTTTTCCCTTAGTTCTATTCATTATCCTCAACCTAAGCAAGTCCTTATATTGTACAACACTAAGATGATCCACTTGGTCCATCATGACTAAATGAACACTTGGATATTCTCAAAAAGAAAAAAAAAGCCTTTCCGTTACTAAGACATGAAAAAATCAGGTCACACAACAGGTTGCTGCATTACATCACGGCTGGGATCTGCCTCATCTACAATTGAGTAATCAGATGCATCTGCCAGCAGAAGTCACAGAGCAGGACAGGATGCAACAGTACATTGTAAGTGTGAAATTTAGCTCCTGTGGCAAAGTTAGTGTCAGAAAAGTCTCACATTTGGTAAGATTTGACATGCTACATGCATCTGCTCCAGCGTCCAAGAGACCGACCCTGAAACACATTAGCCTCTACTGCACTGAGGTATGGAAGGCTTCTTCAGAAGCAGCCCTCTAGCTTTAGAAAGTTACACTGTCACAGCTGAACACAGCAACAGTTGCCCTCAGTAACTTCACCAGGATAAAGTCAGATGAAATACCACCTCATTTTCTTTGTAAGGACAAATTCACAAGTAGACATAAACAGCACCTTTCTGATTAATTCATAATTCCTGTTCTTGCTTTGATGCAAGCTCCCCTTTCCTTCATCAAATACCTAGCACAAGGAGGTAACCTATAATGCAAAGAATAGCCCTATATCAGCAGCCCTCAAGGTGCCTCTGCCCGCAAAGGCAACAGTCTGCGAGTGATGGCATTTATCATCGTGTATTTGGTGACATAACTGCCTTAAAGCATTCTCTCCCTTTCATCTGTACTCTTTCTTCCTTGTAGTATGCTGTCCTTAACCACTGATACAAGTGAGCATGAGGCTAAACTGTAGATCTGATCATAAGACAGATTGTGATCAGTTCAGCAATCTGTTTTCTAGTACATCCTAAAGATTTACTGTGCTGGTACAACTGTATGTTCGGGCAGAGCACTGTAAGGAAAAAACACTACTGTCAGTTCAGTGTTTCTGAAATACAACCTCAGGTGTGACCTGTCGACAAATTCATAGACTGGCCTGGGTTGAAAAGGACCACAATGATCATAAGAGTTTCAACTCCTCTGCTGTGTGCAGGGCTGCCAACCACCAGCCCAGGCTGCCCAGAGCCACATCCAGCCTGGCCTTGAATGCCTCCAGGGATGGGGCATCCACAACCTCCTTGGGCAACCTGTTCCAGTGCGCCACCACCCTCAGTGTGAAAAACTTCCTCCTAATACCTGACCTGAACCTCCCCTGTCTCAGTTTAAAACCATTCCCCCTTGTCCTATCACTACTCATCCTCATAAACAGCTGTTCCTCCTCCTGTTTATATGCTCCCTTCAAGTACTGGATGGAAGGCCACAATGAGGTCTTCCCAGAGCCTTCTCTTCTCCAAGCTAAACAAGTCCAGCTCCCCCAACCTTTCCTCACAGGAGAGGTGCTCCAGCCCTCTGATCATCTTAGTGCCCTCCTCTGGACCCGCTCCAAGAGCTCCACGTCCTTCCTGTACTGGGGGCCCCAGGCCTGGACGCAGTACTGCAGGTGGGGCCTCACAAGAGCCGAGTAGAGGGGTACAATCACCTCCCTCTCCCTGCTGGCCACCCCTTTTTTAATGCAGCCCAGAGCACAGTTGGCCTTCCGGGCTGCAAGCACACACTGCTGGCTCATGTCCAGCTTCTTGTCCACCAGGACCCCCAAGTCCTTCTCTGCAGGGCTGCTCTCAAGTAGCTCTTTCCCCCCTTTGCATAAATACCTGGGATTGCCCTGACCCAAGTGCAACACTTTGCACTTGGCCTTGTTGAATCTCATTAGGTTCACAAGGGCCCACTTCTCCAGCCTGTCTAGGTCCCTCTTTCTCAGTTTAGAAAGGTATTATGAAATGCTTAACACTATAGAAAACAAAAAAAAGAACCCTAATAGCTATATTAATAATTCTGTATATATATACACCTACACACATATATGCATACACCACATACATACGTACAAATGCAAGGGGAATTTTGCCCTGCACACCTATCTGTACTGTTGATGCAAGTCTGTGATACATCAAGTATATCTGTGACAAGATGGGAACACGCTGGACTCATACCAGACCTAACTTAATTAGAAATGGTTAAAGCTTAATTAAGTCATCTTTGCAGCTGGCATCACATAAGATTTGCAAGTCTGATCTTCAGTTGTCACTGTGGTTTCCCTTAAGCATAGGGACAAATAAGGCCTGCTGATTTCATTGAGTTTTGCAAATCCACAATAAGAATTCCTTTTTTTATATATAGTCATCATGATTAAGTAACAGCATATTAGTATTGACTTCTGTAACATCATGTACTCAGTTTTACAGAAGCAAAGAACAAAAATACATGCACATGTGTACTTAAGCAATAAACTAGTTGCTGTCAATTTGGCAGCATTGTATTTAACAAGGCACAGTATTCACTTGGAATCTGTCAATCAATTCCTGAAACTATTTTTTGAAAACAAAACAAAAAAAAGCACATGGATACCAGTATATTTTACTATAGATTCAGTCTTATAGTCATGCTCACACAACAGTGTATCTAGTTTTATCTGTGGTACTTTCAAATAGGAGCAGCCAATATTGGAAAGGAAAACAGCAAACATAAAGTACAGCATAATTACTAAATAAGCAAACACTGCCTCTGTCACGTGCTGCAAATTACTTCAAGTATATCATTAAATCCAGTTTCCCGTTGTATTCTGACCTTTCACTTCAAATACTTAGTTCATTCAAGCTGTAGTTCAGTAAGGCTATTTTTCAACCACATTTCAGTAACAATCATAGCATTCCATCCTCCACCAAGATTCACAGGAAGTTGTACGTCTAAGGGAAGTTATATTTTCACTCACATTTAGGTTTGAGCAAAACCTACTCAGTAATTTCAGTTTTGATGCGGGGGTAACTAAAAGAGTATGTGGGAGCCTATTCATGCCTGGGGAAAGTAATTGCCTCGATACTGAAATCTAATTAAGCATTCATATTTTTAGAGAAATTAGTATTAAGAATCAGAACTGTCGGACTAAAGAAAGAGTTAAAAATAGCATACTACTGCAAACCATAGCCTACCTATCATAGCTTACTTTCAATTTAATAAATAAATGCTAAAGCATAAGTAATTAGTGAAAGTATTAGTTTCTACAGCCATTTTTAACTTGACAGGTAAATATGACACAGCAACGTATGCTAGAACTACAACAACTGCTTCACTTGAACTGCTGTAACAGAGTGCCATAATCATGAATACAACTCTTTATTACCTCCCTTCTTCCCCAGTCTTTCATACCTCAAACTTAAGTCCAATCAAATAAATAAATAATGTAGCAAACATCCAAACAAAACCACATTTATACCATTAGTCACCTTCAAATAAATAATACAGTTCATGTACTAATAAGACAAATTCTAGCTAACTGGAACAGGTTGCCCAAGGAGGTTGTGGATGCCCCATCCCTGGAGGCATTCAAGGCCAGGCTGGATGTGGCTCTGGGCAGCCTGGGCTGGTGGTTGGTGACCCTGCACATAGCAGAAGGGTTGAAACTCTATGATGGTTGTGGTCCTTTTCAACCCAGGCCATTCTATGATTCTATGTTGCTATGATTCTAACACTGGGTAACGTAGAAAGCAATCCTCACTAAAGTATAAACTAAATACTTCATTGAATGCTAACAACAAGGTGTGGAGGAATGGCGAAGACATTTCAATGCTTTGTAAGGCAATCACCTTTTGCTGATTAATAAGCATAAGAATTTCTTCAAGTAAATCTCTTCACCCTCGAACTGCAATATGTTACTTGTGATTGCTTTCAGTATTGAACATTGGAAGAAACAAAGAAAACAAGCTGAAATCTTTTTTTTCCCCTGTTGTTTAAACACAGATTTAGTAAAGTTCCAAGTTAAAAAAACCTTAACATCTACATAACAAAAGTAACTCTGAAAATTAAATTTCACAGCTCTTAGATAATACCTTAACTCCCACTTTTATCATCCTTTTTACACTCACAGTTCCACGCTAACTGTCAAGACGTGTATATATTTATATAGTTGCTGGACACTGGTGCAAGTGTCACACATAAGGCTGAGAAGTCTGCTTATACTTCACAGTATAAGTTCAAATCCCTCCAAGACTCATGATTAATTTGGTTCTAATCTCTTCCATTCCTTGTTTCAATTGCATCATCATTAGCTATCCTTACTCATTCACAACATCTACTTTCTCTCTGTGCTGAAAACAATTAAAATCTTCCTTATCACTTGCATTAATACTTAAATATTAGCTTGGAAAAAACTTGAGCAAAATCCCTAGATGCATTGAATCCCAGTCTGTAAACTACATCATCATTCATCTCTACTTCTCGACTCCTAAAAAAACTGCCAACTTCAAAACTTCCACATGGATTTTCTTTTGGAAGAGATGTAGTTGTTTTTTAAAAGAAAAAAATAATTAAAATCAAACCATAACTATCTTCCTTTTTGTTTTACTTACAGTAATAACAAGAAATTTTTACATGCTTTCTACCTATTACATATACTTTTCCAACCTCAGTCTTCTTAGCTATTTTACACAGATGATACAGACTAGATTTATAGCATTAATAAGTTGTAAAATAAAGGAACTTAGCCTTATTTGAAACTGGCTGCCCAACCCACCTATCTGTTGCAACCACAGAGCTAGTGAAAACACTGCTCACCTATCACCCAGCTGGTCTAAAAAACCATCTCAGATCTCACTTGAATCCTATTTAATATTTATGTACTTAGGCTTTTATTTTTTTATTATAAACTATTCTGTTCAGCCAAGTCACTGTACAGAAGACACAAAGATTGTCTAGGTGGAATTATCTCTATAAAATCTAAAAACAATTCTATTGTTTTATTATTTTATTATCATTTTCTTGACAGAAGATTTCACATCATGAGCATCACAACACGTTACTTGAAAAACCAAAGATGTTTCAGACATCAAAACATCAGAAAAAACCTCATATCATAGATACATCTATTATATTAGACACATGAAGATGCATTTATTGGAACAAAGTCAAGAAAGCCTGATATGCTTACCTTTGAGAGTTCCATTCCTGGTCCACACTGTTTGCAGAGAATACATTTCCCAGTGTGGTCTCTAAATTCTTGTTCTCTGCAGTCTCCAGTCTCACAAATTACCCTACTTAGCTAAGAAAAAAGAAAAAGAAAAAAGATTAACTTTATTTCTGATTTATATGTAATTTATACAAATTCTAAGTCAGAGAAATCACATTTTTATCTTAAAAAATGATTTTCTGCATTATGAGGAATACCATAAGCACTACCATCAGCCATGCAAAGGCTCAGTATAATTAACTGAATCCTAGCCAGAAACATTATCAAACAAGTGCTCTCAAGAGAATTTTAAATTCAATGTCTACAGACTTCTATCACAGAAAGCGCTCTCCACAATTGCTTCCAAATTCTTACTTTGTGTATTAGTCCTTTCAGAAAGGCCAAAGCCTTTCTGATAGCAATGAACCATTAATTACCCTTAGTTTCAGAGCTTGGCTTTGCAGGTCAGTTGAGGTATGCCTACAAGCAAATGTAATTGCATGCCATGCTAATATTATATGGATAAAATGGACACTTCAAACTCCTGAACTATATATCTACATGGAATACTGTACTAACAGATTGACATTGAAATGACAGTAGCAAGAAATGACACAAAGTAGATGACCAAGCTCACATTAAAATTGGAAAAAAATATTTTATAGTTGTTTAAATAGGTTTGAGTCTTCCAGACTTAGTGGTTACACACAGAAGACACCACTCCTGTGTCTGACATAATCACTTATTTCAACATTCATCTGGGAATAAAGCTGAATTACATACTTACCAAATATGCTAGTAAGATTATAAGCATCTTCAATTTGTCTTCTCCTTGTAATCCTTTAGGATCCATTTCTTACAATTAAACCTTCACTCCCCACAAAAAAAAGAGAAAAAAAAATTGTATTTCACTGTTGTTTAAATTTAGATAAAACATACATCTTCTAGCTTAGCTATCTATTCATAGTGTTTTAAAATGCTTCTGATAGATTCAAGGAAGCTAAGTAACTAACACAAACACATAGAAATATATTTTCAACTTTAATAAATAAGCACACAATAAAATTAGTTAATAGAATTATGATGTTCCTGTAATAAAATGTTGTCTTTTTAAGAAGATAAGGCAACACGCATGAAGTTTCTGTAGCCTTAATTCTTAAAATTCAGAGGTTGCTACCAGTCCAGATCAGAGCACTTCAACATTTGCAGAGCCAGTACCTCCTAACATCTGATGTTGACCCCTAACACCTCTGACAAGCAAGCAGGATACCAGCTACACACAGGTGCCACTTATCAGTCAGGATGCAGCTGATCACGCACATATGCCTTCACACAGCTGATCACGTGGTGTAATGTGGAGCAAAATGAGCTCTGCAATGAAGTGGAGGCATACATAGGCTTTGTTTCTACTCCTTACCAAAGGAAATTAACTTCTTAAAACATGTTAATAATCATTTAAAATCAAATAGGCAAAGACTGATACGCAAGGCATTTCAAAAGGCTTAACCAAATCACATCCTACCTACCTCAGGTAAAGAAAGCCTACAAAGCCTTTCTTAATTAATTTAAGAAGCACTAACAAGCAAATGATTAAATAAATAAAGGGAAACAATCTGAAACTGCCACAGAAATGTGGGGTTAAGTTTCCTGGATTATTAGACCAACAAACCATTAGTCTATGCCATATACCTATAATCATTCACAAGTCGTACATGGCCAATAGAAAGTTTCTTCTCACTTCACTTTTATTTATTTGAGTTTATGTTCATTTCCAGGTTTTTTTTGGTCAGTAAACTAGAAATACTAGCATAGCATTTTGTGCAGAAATCCATGGTGTACAGCAACAAGAAAAGAATAAGTAAATTTAGCCCATGTACTATTACATTTGAATGTGGTCCTAGCTTGCATATATGATAGTAATAGATTATATTTCACCTAGATTATGTGAAAAATAATGCTTAAGTATTATAGGCCTACTTCAAAACTTAAGGAACGATGTTTAATTATGTTTTTAATATATAAGATTCTAAAAATGTATCATTTAGGAGTAGAAGACATTGGCAAATGGAAGGATGGAACCCAAACATAAGAAAAGAACTAAAGACAAAGATTAAGGACAGCTTCAAAGTGTGTTATGATATGGAACTATGACAAGCACAACACATAAGAAAATGCAAAAATCATAATGAGAACAAATCAAGTATTACAGTAAGTGCTACATCAAGTGTTACAACACTCAATTTCACGTTTCCCAGCATGAAAACCCTAGTTAACAAATTCTAACAAATAAGAAGGAAGTGTACATCAATGGCACTGCTGATGTATTTTAAGATTCAAAATTTTATCTTGAAGTTTAAAAAAAAAATTAAAGTCTGACCAAGAAGGACAGAGCAGGCAGAGAGGTGTTTGCAGGCACTCTACAGAAAAGCCAAGATCCCATTCCTACAGTTCTTTCTCACCTAGCTATGGTACCAGTCTATGGGTCAATAACATCTGATTATATGCATGTCAACATGGGTAAAAAGGCAACCAAGTAACAGAACTACAAGTAGGTACAGCATCCTACAGAGGTTGCTTTTTCAAGTCTGAGGGATAAAACAGGCACAGAAATGTGAACTAGGAAATCTTGGAAGGAGTTCTGGATGACCCCAATACAACAGTTGAAACTAACACAAATCATAAAAGAAATGGAAAAATGGAAAAGTAGTACCAAAAAACTTATTATTAGGTTAGTTATCAGGTGCGCTAAATTGGAATAAGAAACTAACAATATTAATGCAATAAGAAAAATTATATATATATAATTATATATATAATAATAATTTATAGCTATATATTTTATATATATATATTATATATAATTATTATATCTATAATAGCCCCAGTTCCTTCAGTCTCTCCTCATAGGTCATATTCTCCAAGGCCTTCACAGGCTTTATAGCCCTTCTTTGGACCTGCTCCAGCACCTCCATGGCCTTTCTGTACTGAGGTGCCCAAAACTGAACACAGTACTCGAGGTGAAGCCTCACCAGTGCCGAGTACAGGGGCAGGATGACTTCCTAGTCCTGCTCACCACACCATTCCTGATCCAAGCCAGGATGCCATTGGCCTTCGTGGCCACCTGGGCACACTGCTGCCTCATATTCAGCTGACTGCCCATCAGTACACCAAGGTCCCTTTCCATCAGGCAGCTTTCCAGCCACTCCTCCCCAAGCCTGTAGGGTTGCCTGGTGTTCTTGTGACCAAAATGCAGAACCCAACACTTGGCCCATCGATCCAGTCTATCCAGGACCCTCTGTAGTGCTCTTCTCCCCTCAGGCAGATCAACGTTCCCTCCCAACTGAACTCAAACTAGATTAGACCAAAGACAAATTGTGAGACTTTGCATCTTAGTGACCTGGAAAAATCAGGGAAGACTTAAGTATTACTTTCAGCATCATTCTTTGAAGTAAAGAAATTCTTATCGACTTCTTGATGTCACATAGTATTCAGTAAGGAAAAAAAGGAAAAAAAGTGTGAATACTTCACACACTTAGCAGCTATGGAAAACAGAGCTTCATGTGGTTGTGCAGTTAGAATGAAGTTGTAAATGTAACTGAGTTGCTTAGGAGGGACTATCAAGTGAATATTCTAAGCTGAATGAGATGACATTTCCTTAACAATAACATTAAGGAATATAAAACATAACAGCTCTAATTCAATTATGCTCATTTGTGTAATACTACCATAGAATTCAAAAAAGAATTCTTTATAGCACTGAAGTACGTTTCATTTTAAATTCAAATATTTACTCATAGGAATAGTGGGTGACATAAAAAAATGTATTGTAACAACTATTTATGTCAAGTTGCATATAGTATTATCAGTACAAATAGCATCACTGAGCTGCAGTAAGCCTGAAGGTCTAAAATATGAAGCCAGGGCAAAATCTAAACAGTCTGTAATGTTCTTCAAGTCACTTGAAGGATGGAAAAAAAGGAAACTGAGAACAGCCTGATTTACTGGCCAGGAGATTGAGTACTTGCCATACTACTGCAATTAAAATGTATTAGCCTTATGTAATGAAGCTACATTCATCCTATACATTTTTCCAATGTGCAATAAACTGCACATTTAATATTTTAATAAAGTTTCTTCACATATAGGCTATTTATTAAAAATCAATATTGAAACAAGCAAATGATGCATTTTTATGTTTGTAATCTTCTGTTCCAGAGTTGGATTATAAAACAAATGTCACTTCTTAACAGAAGGTGGTACAGAATAACAAGTTGGTCACACTGATAGTTAATCACATTTCTGTATGTCAGCTTCTGAAGTTGTCATACCAGATGTAGGATAACCTTAGTATAGCATTTACCTCAAAGATTTAAGACATAGAATGCATATGGAGAAGCACACTGTACTAAAACATATTTTGTTGATTTAGGTGTGGAAATTTTATTGCAACTCTGAAATATTTTCTATTGAAAAGAAAAATCTATTGCCTTTATAACACTTGCCAAATCCAACACCTTCAATCATTAAGAGTTCCAAAATCCAAAGGAAACTTCCAAAATCAAGTGTTTTAGAACTAGCTTCCAAACCGTCAAGGACTTCTCCAACTCATCTACAAAGTTTTGCGTGCTTCAGATGACCACATACAAAGTGCCATCTCACAGCATTCAGTCTGCGATACAAGATATCTTTCAGAAAATTCACAATCAGATCTTTCAAATACGGTTACAGAACTCTGGGCCTGAAACTTCAGTGCACTTGAGCAGGTTTAGTAGCTCTGAAACACATTCAAATCATATCAGTAGATATATATGAATGCCAGTGGTATTATATCATGGAAGTGCTGATAAGAAATAACACCAAAAACCAGAAGGACAAAATATTGGCTATAACATATGAAAAACAAACAAGCTTGTATACTATAAAGAAAACTCTCAGTTAAGCGTATGGAAAAAAGTTACTTTTCACAATAACACTTCAATAAAAATAATACAAATGGTTAAGGCACATTAATAAATCATTGTATTGAAAGCAAGTCCCCAGGGAGACATAACTCTGCCAGCTGCTTGTTTTCTGTTTCTGCCTTCAGTTTTGTTTTAAGCCCCAACTGAAAAGCAGATGCTGCAGCACTTAATAGCAGTTTGCCAATGGGTAAATTTGTTCTCTCTTAATGCCAATTGTCAGTACACTGATGTAAGTTGGACAAAAGCTATTCATTTGTATTCAATTAAGTAGCAACGAGAAGAACGTTTTGCTTCTAAAATACTCACAATCAGCACATTGAAGTCAATACATAGAACCCCCATTAAGAGGTTGTGTAGTTACAAGACTGTGCAGGGGCTACTACGCGTTTGTATAACAGGGGCAATATCAAACCAGAAGTTAATAAAATGTAGTAAATGAATCATGGAAGTAAGAACTTCCAGCCTTCCGGGATCCTACAATGCACTATCCTCCAAAATGTATGTCTACATTACTGCTCAAGCAAATGAGATGGAGCAGTGATCTACTCCAAGTCTACTCACCAAAAAATATTTCCTCCTACACACACACACA